CGTTGACGCTCATAGCCCCTGCTAAACGATTATTGAGGGGGGTCTTTATGGAAACATTTCCCCTTTGCCATAACGTGGAGTTTTCCTAACGTCTCCGACTTCATATCTGCTAAGTCATCGCTGCTTTGGTGTAAAGTTGAAAAAAATGATCGAGATGTTTCTATTCGTGCGGAAGTCTCCCCACATATCATGGGAAATATATATTTTCAATGGCAGAGTTGTAGATTAGCGGAAGCAATTTTGAAAAACTCAAACAGATTGCAAAGTTGGTGGCTTTCATCCAAAAAAGGCAGGTGTTTTTTGTCCAAGGGTAATGTTTTTTTTATTGAGCCGACTAGCTCAAAATTGATCGGTTTTCAGGACCTCGAGTGGTACTACACCCTGGATAGCTTGGGCGGCTCTACACGTCCACTTTCTGTGCTCTATGATTCCTTGGTACGACCAGGAGCTGATCTGGGAGCGCAGATCTCTTCGAGGCTATCGTGGCAAACGGATAAGATGAGACGCATACCTCATTTGGTACTAGGAGAAACGCCTGTCGGCGGAAGTTGGAACAATTATGATCAAGAGGTGATTGTTATTTCATGTAAGTTGAAGAGCCCACGTGCACAATTACCCATATTGTTTGAAATCACATGAGGCAGAGAGGTAACCGGTTCGTCAGTATGTTCCTTTTTTGCTAACTCCAACATGGCATTCTACTCTTTTTGTGACTCAGTCAATTTCCGGTTTTCTGCTACTGATTCTTCTTTTCTTGTAAGACGGAGTGATTAAGCAAGAGAGGATATGGATTACGGTAACATTGTCAGATGATTGCTGTCTCATTTTCCTCATGGTTGGACCTACCCGGCTTCTCAATCTCTGATTGGCTTCAAGGAACACCACTGGTGCCAAGGTAATTGGTATCGTATTCGATTAACTTTGCTGCGATGGAGATATAATAGTAAAAACTTCTGGGGGATTCGATTTCAGAAAGGGAGAGGGTGAAGAGGTTGGGTATCATAATTTTCCGTTACTTCACTTCCTTGACGGCTCTAGACCTTCTCCACAGGTTGCCGGTGGTCGCTTTACCGCCTTCCTGGTTGAATGAATAATTCGATTCTAGATGTAATAAAGTGATGTTCTTTATTTAGACTGCCATCCGTTGCAATTGTTGAATACATGAAATCTTATGTGAAGGAAATGGGTCTCTTTAAAAGCATAATTCCGCATACGAAGGTCACCTCTGTCAAGGTAGGAAGAGTTACTCTTTGGTTTCTCTGTCTTTATTTGTTTGGAAGTATTGCTTTTGATTCTGTGACAATAAAAGAACTCTGATAATTTTCATTAATTTATTAGTTTTTTATTAGCGTAAAATTGCAACTGTCCATACAGAATAATTTGTGTAATTTTTGTCCGAGAAGGGAAAGCGCGTGCTGTGCTGGCTTGTGGTGACCGAGATAAGTTATCGCATTGCGCGAAACTGGTGAATGATTACACTGCTGGGAATGTTGGGAAACACGCTGAAAGATTGCGAGATTGCCGACTAGAGCGGAGATCAGAAACTTCATATGAGATGGGATTCTTGAAAAGTCGACCCCTTTTTTGATATCCATTCAAATTAGTTGATTTTTAATAGGATCACTCCCAGTAGTAGTATCGTTATGGGGCTTCTATCAACCGGTTATTCTCTTGCTGCAAGGGTGCAGAGGTAATTTCTGATCGTCTCTATTGAAAGAGCAATTTAAGGGAGGAAAATCAGGGAGAAGAAATAGAGAAGGAAGGGAGGAAAAGACGAGGGAGGGAGAAAAGGGAGGGGGAAAAGGGGACATTGCGGTACACAGATCCTGAGACGTTGGTAGATCTGCTTTTGTGCATGTCTTGTCCAATCTTAGGGGTTGCCCCGCTTTCGCGGCCCTACAGTGGTGATGAAGGCGCTGCAGCCGTCGTAAGCCGAAGGTACCTGTCAGTCATCAAAAAGGCCTCACCCATTTGGGGATGAGATGCTCCTGCAGCCTTATCGGCATAGGTGTGGCACGTCGTGTCCGTTCTTTTGTTATCACCTGCAGTCTCTCTTGTTTCTCGTTCTCTCATCCTTCGTCTCTGGTCCCTCGACTGTCTGCCCACTATCTCGCTTCTTCGAATAATCGCGCCGTTGTATCTGCTCAGTTCTCCACTTGTAAGTCACCTGGCATCAATTCACTGTTATACCCCAGAACTCACAAAATGTAGTCGAGGGATATGTCCTATAGTTTGGCTACCCGCGATCGTGTTATAATGCTCATTTGAAAGCTCCAATTATAAAAAGCGGCTTTCATGCTGTTTTAGTTTGATCTGCTGCTAATACAGTCTTTGCAACGATTGAGCGGAAGTCTGGTATTTTCACCATGGTTCCACTCTGAAGTGTAACCGATCGTGTATCATTTTGAAACAGAAATCTTAGCGCGCTCTAGCAAGAAATGACTATGATTTATTACCCCTCCTCATATATACATCCGACCCAAATCATCAGTGCTGATGAGTTTGTGCCGAAGGTGTCCTGTTTTTCAAGCCTTCGAAATTCAGTGACCTTTGAGTAGTGTCCATAGTGACGGATAACATTGACGCAGATAGCAAAATCAAGGTCAAATTGTTTTCGTTTCTGATTTCCTGGGGTGAAGTTTGGTTCGTGCCATCCGTTTCTCGGTGGTATCAAAAAATTGTGCCACAAGCGCCAAAAAATTGCCCTAGCAGTCGAAGTGAAGGGTACGACTAGCCTACACGTGGACTGTTTACTCGCACAAATACCATTTGCTACTTCAGATGTCTCTCTAAGTGCCTACTGCTATCCCTGTGATTGTACTTTGCGACGGGAGAATAAGAGAATGGGCGGATCAGTATTTTGGAAAAGTGCGCTCCAGTGGAGTGGTTGGATATATGTTCTTTTCGCTAGCGACTTGGATGAAAAGGAGGAGGGAAAAGTGGCGATTCCACGATTGGAAGGGGGCGTGTTATCGCAGAACCTTCTAAGGGAACACGTATCCTTTAAAAAAGTCGGACTGCGAGTTCTCCTCTTCTTCTGTTCTTCCTCTCAAAAGCGAGTGGGAGGCGAGCAAGAGAATCGTAAATTGCCGCTTTGTCGCGCGCGGCAATGGGTGCGACGTTTCCTTAAGTCCGCTTACCGCTTTCAGCTGGAGCGTCGCACTCCAAGTGACAAGGACATGGTAGACAATTATGTTCATTTTTAGTCATACATTATCTGTTCTCGACCAACACCACCTTAAATAGTCGTTTTTAGCGGCCGCGACGTCGCACGCTGGGAGACCAGCACTGCGGCCCTGTAAGCAGTTTCGCGAGCGCGGCATTCACACCAACAGTCAGTTAATTAGTGTTTTAGTTATCGTAGTCTGTCGAATCAAGTTGCCAGACCGGGGTTCCCATAAATCCCTGAGATGCTCAGATGGGATAGATAGTTATAGTTACAGAAGCAAAACCATATTCTTTTGATCAATTGTTTTTACTTATTTTCTGAAAATAATGTAGAAGCAACTATGCAAGGACTTGCCAGATATGTACTGAAGTTTACAATTTACAGAAAACTGGAGATCTGTGGACAGTATCAGGAAAGCGAAAAGATGGACTCAGTTTCAGTTACACAGCCAAACATGTTGTATTAGCCTGTGGGAAAACCAAAAATAGGAAACTTGAGGTGCGGTAATGAGCTCGTTGGTAGCTTGATTTCAATTGCTCAGTTGAGTCCTTTACGGCCTAATTTTCTGAGCTTTAGTTGCCAACGCAAAACCCTTCATTGCCGATAGTTTACGATATTTTGAGTATGCGATCTCGATTGATGGAGGATTGCACTATCGGGTCAAGGTGGGTGACTCGTCTTAAACTCATTCGGAGGTGTTTAAAGAGTGCTTTTTACACTTTTCGATTACACTGCCTACGGAAACGATTCAAAAAAGTACATTGTAAGACTGGTTCCTCATTGGAGGCCATCAAATTTTTTGTCAGCATGATGAGGCAGCCTTTGAAACGACGATTTATTAGTTAAGAACTGGTTTTAATAATGTCTTTCCGGTTCTCTGAAATACAGATGAATTTTTCAGTGCAAGCGATGCGCGCAGTGGTGTGGTGATTGGGGATGGAATCTCATCGGCTGATGCCGTGCGACTTTGCTTAGAACAAGAAATACCGGTACTGCATGTGATGCGACGAACAGAGCGTCAGCTTCGAAGTGAGTCGGAATTTCTTGAAAGATTTCGGGCGAGGGGGAGGGGGTCGTTCTGCATTTTTGCTGCTTTACTAGTTCAGGTTTACAAGTCTCATTCTCTGAAAACCTTAAGTTTTGTGAAGCTAGAGCTAGCTAGCCGCCATGGTTAAATTTGTAAGCTATGAAATGATTTTCGTCGTGAATTTAGAAGAGTTGACAGTTACTCTTAGCAAAAACTGGTGGCTGGTCTCTACAAACTTTGAAGTTTCACAGGTCTACTGACTGTTCATCACGCGACGTACGTTCGATGGGAAGTAGCAAAAGTGCAAAATGCCCTCACCCCCCTCCCCCGTCACAGAACTGCCCCGACTTTGTGCCTTTGTTCTTCTGGGGATTAGTAGTTACCACTAAAGACTTTCTTTCAGATACGGTTCTATCTCGCTTGTCACCTTTACACTATGGTGAATATCATTCGATTTATCGATTGATGATAGGAAGAGATACCCATCCACTGTATGAGATGAGCCATGCGTCGTCAGTTATTGATGTTGACCAAAAGTCTGTAGTGACGATAACAACACCAAAAGGAAATCGATACGTGAGTGCCTATTTGTTGTTTTGAGCCAGGTTGCCCATAGTAGAAGTTTGATAACTCAAAGTTTGGTAAACCTTCGGGATGATTTGTGTGGATTTGGGATGGCGTTTGTTCTCCCGTCTGCGCTTTTTCACAGTGTCGGGCAAACGGGCTGCAGTCAGCAAACGAGTCTTATATAGCTTAACCGTAGAAGAGGGTTCGTCCGAGTTGAAAACAAGGGAGAATTGGATTTCAAAGCGTCTGTTAAACCTGAAATCTTATTGGAATAACTCCTGGTGTGTGAGGCTGAGCGGTGAATAAAGTTCACACCGGCTTTTACTCTTGACGTTTTGCTGGGGATTTTACTATGCAATGGTCAGAATCAAACCAATTCTTTGTGGACCCTGGAGGGAATTATCAGGTAGAGTTAATCCGTTGAAACAAGCAACTCGCAGAAGTTCATGTCCAGCTGAAGAAAGAGAAACCTTATGTTCGGGATTCGAGGTAGTGAACTTACCAAGGGATTCGCAACTCGGCCACCCGGCGGTGTTGTTTGGGATATCGGAACCGGCATTTCTAGCTAGTTGACTCGACATAGCTAACTGGCATCAGCTCAATCAGTTTGTGGCATCCTGCGTCTTACACAGGTCATTTTACGTTCTCTTAAAAATGCGATCAGTTCGTTAGATTGTCTCATCCAATCCCAAGCTTCACATATATTCATTATACCTGAAGTCAGTTGGAGAGCGTCAGCGGCGAGTGGGTTTGGGCACCACGCTTATCTGCATTGCATCAGTTTCGCGGCTTTGCGTCCAGTGAAAACAAACTAGCACCACAGCGAAACTTAGGCAGCGTTCAGACTTCGCGGCGGCAGCGCCTCGTCGCGGCTTTATTTGGCGCGATCAATGCGCATGCTTTCAACTGCATCGAACGCGAGACCGAAGCGTTGCCATCGCGAAGTCTGCACGCTCCTTTACGCGCCGCTGCCACACCCCGACCGACTTCAGTGATAACGACTGCATCTCTTGACAAACGTTTGCTATCCCTTGATTAAACCACTGACTGCTGAACGAGGTCTTATAGTGGAACTTGAAACGAAAGAAAGCGGTCAAAGAATTGTGGAGAGTCTATTGGGTAGAATATTAACCGGTTCGCACCCGATACTGCGATCAGAATCTCCTGAACTGCACTCGCTATGTCCTTTGGGTGAGGATAAGGTAGTTTATTATAGTCTTCTTTATGGAAACTGTCCCGAGAAGATTCGTTCACTTATGGCGCTTTGGTTGCGCCACTGAATGACGTGATGCTGAGCTATGCTTCAGGCTCTTGGTTATGTAGAAGTCGATAGGGGGAAGTAATTTGAGGTAGTTATGGCAAGAAATATTGCCATACTTGGTATATGGCTCACACGCGCGCCTAGATAACCAATGAAAAACAGTTCAAAGGGACAAAAACGTAAATGACTGCTCAGATTCATAGCGAGTATGCTTGGTTACCAAATAAATTGACGTTGTTCGACTTAGTGGGGACATTTTGCACTTCGCTCATTTATGGTGCTAGTTCTATTAAATCGCACCTTAATAGGACCTGTGGACAACTGTCAGGTGCGAACGAAACGTGTGCAACTGCATAGCATCGCAGGTCTCCGCAGGTCTCCACGGAAGGCGTCGGCATTGATCTATTGGAGCCAGCAAAATGTCCCCCACCAAGTCGAATTGCGCCATCAAAGCGCAGTTAGCACTATTGCTAGAGGCGAGGGCTCGTTGCCAGTGTCATTGGTGGCAGAGCTGCTGAAAGGCATTTTCCACTTTCAACCCTTCGAACGCAATGCCATTGAACGGCGAAGGCAACGGCGCCCCCAGCAGTCTTACCCACTGCCTTCAAGTCCTTTTTCATTGGTTAGTTGGAAATCGAAAGTGAGTGTTCACCCCTTATGTGAAGTTTTCTGCAGGTTAGGAGTTCACGGGTATGTGACAAGAGAATCGTAATTCGCCGTGCTGGTGGGCGTCGCGTGCGACGTCGCGCCCGAGAAGTGGCGATGGTTCCAGGTAGAGGTTGGCGACAACAAGCAATTCAGAACCGAAAATAGCCATGAATGTCTACGATGACGGGTTCTACATAAATTCCGGTGCTCCAACGGTTTAACACGAGTTAAGAAAACGCCGCGCCCATCGCCGCGCGCGGCGAAGCGGCAAATTGCGATTCTCTTGGCCGTCTCCCGGAGTTCACAGCTGACATTTGGTTTTGGGAAACGCCAGACTTAAAGTATTGTAGGTTCAGTCTGTCCCATTCTGTTATCGGTTGCGGTTTCAGAAAATTCAAAATTCTACACTGTGAGTCTTTTTCGAAGGAAATTTTGCCTTTTTTAGGAGAAATGCTCCATGCTGGTGGTGTGCATCGGACGAGTAAGCGACTTGGAGGGTATCCTTAGCGAGAAGTACACTTTCACTGGATATCAGTCAGATGAGGATCCAACACTGTTCTGTGCCGGATCGTTCGCTGGCGACCATTTTGTCCGTTACGTCGTCGGTGGATGCCTAGAAGTGGCAAGATCGCTTAATGACTACTAATAAGGAAATAGCAATAAAACGATACTTGTGATGTTTTGTAAGTAGTTTGATTACCCCTCCATGGGTATGACTCATTTCCGAGAATGTCGTCACACACGGTGTAGCTCCGGTTCGCTTAATCCCACGTATGTCTGAGCTGTGGGATCTGATGTTCAGGTGGGAACAATTGGTGATCTCAAATCGATTTTTTTCATATTGAATCACTCACAATCGCCCAATTTGAATTGCCCTCTTTTGGATGAGCGATTTTTAAACTGTGATTTTATGTACGATTAGTAATAATTTGCTACGCGTAGAGCTTTAATTACGTGTTTGTAGTGTGATGTTTATTATGTTTATACGAGTATTTATTTATAAATATGCGACGATCTGTACCAAAATGAGGGGTCTTTGGTGTTTATACACAGCACTTACTACGGAGAACATTCCCATTCACTTGGTGCTATGGAAGCCGTTTTATGTACGTTTTGCCGCTGGTATCCTGTGAATGGGCAGAGCTTATTATCGCTTCTAGTTCGCCTACGAAGGGGTCGTATTTGGGTGTTGGATGGAGGAAGAGGGTGGCGGGGGGGGGATAGTAAGTGAAGAGTCGATTAATAGCGCAAAGATGTCAGCATCGCTAAGTTATGGGTGCGGAACATGCACAGGAGTGAGCAGGCGTAGGTGAAAATATTACAAAATATTGGAACAGTGAAGCTATAAGATCATGTTAGTCCTAAGTACGTAGGTAATTGAATAATACAGCTGGAATAGTTGGTTTTTATTGAGGATGTGCTGTACGTCAGCAGTTGCACCTTCCACCGTTTATGTGAGGAACGCGCGTATGCATCCATCCAGAGAGCGGTCGCCTAACGAGCATTTGCTACTTGTGTTTCGCGAAGATGCGTTCTAGGAGCGTGATCAGGTTTTTGAATGAGTTACTTGCAACGGTGCCCAAGAAACGGTTTTTTATGCGACTCCAAAGTTTTTTTTTCGGAAAAAAAACGCGTCTCGTGAACTGCTCTTGAAAAAAGAAAAAAAATGGAAATATCTCGTAAAATGCCGGAAGTTCAGAAAACAGTTAAGTATGTAACTTCCGATGAAAACATTTCTTCCTCTGCAAAACTTTGCAAACGGTCACACACAAAGAAAGTTAATCGTGGCGGCACGAAGGACAAAAACTCGCACGATGTTCTCGACATTCCCTGTGAATTGAATAGGAGCAAATCTTAATGTTTCAGAACTTGGTGATAGAATTTTATCTAGTTTTCGACAACCGCGTTCGCATTTTCCTCAGTGTTTTAAATTTAACGCGTTCCGCACCGCGAGACACACATGGTGTGTCATGAGTTCGTCCCTATGCGGTGCTTTATTGGATTAATTTGGCTCTCCTGACATGTTCCACTGTTGTCAAAACACATTGTCGGTTACGGACGATACTTTCTCATAAGCGATTGTAAACAGGGAGGAAATTGCTGATGAATTATGATGAAAAATCCTACTATATATAATCCGCTAAGTTTGTCGGTCGGTGTGTGTGTGTGTGTGTGTGTGGGTGTGTGTGTGTGTGTGTGTGTGTGTGTGTGATGTTGTGTGTTTGACCGGAAATTCATAACTTCCTTCAAAACAGCGACTGTGCGCTCAAACTGATAAGTGATGTAGGAGGTCGGGCAGGAACACTATTGGGTAGGTGGCAGGAAGTGATAAGAGCTGATAAGATACCATAGGGGATTCTAGAAAGCCAGGGTCGCCAACTCCATAACACGCGTCACAGCGAGCAACCTTTAGTTCCAAGAGGCAGTATAGGGGACAGGATGAGAACAATATTGGTGGTGTGGCAGGAATTGATAACAGCCGATAAGATATCATAAGGGCTCTTAGAAAGCGAGGTCACCAATTCATAACACCGGCCACAGCAACGACGAGACATTGGTTCCAAGAAGTAATATAGGGGGCAGGATGAGAACATTATTGGTGGTGGCAGGAATTGATAACAGCCGATAAGATATCATAAGGGCTCTTAGAAAGCGAGGGTCACCAAATTCATAACACCGGCCACAGCAACGACGAGACATTGGTTCCAAGAAGTAATATAGGGGGCACTATGGGAACATTATTGGTGGGTGGCAGGAATTGATAACAGCCGATAAGATATTCATAAGGGCTCTAGAAAGCGAGGGTCACCAAATTCATAACACCGGCCACAGCAACGACGAGACATTGGTTCCAAGAAGTAATATAGGGGGCAGTATGGGAACATTATTGGTGGGTGGCAGGAATTGATAACAGCTGATAAGATAGCCAGGAAAATTCACAGCAGAGTTAGAGCAACACTGGGAACTGCTCCAGCAAGTAATTCAGAGGTACTCAGGACATTTAAAGGTAGGGAGATAAATTCTGACAGTGTCCGACGAGGGCTTTTGGGAGTCCATATCTGCTCACATCACCGTAGCCAAAGAATGAATGGGCGAATTCTTAATGAGTCAAGATGTTTTCCCTTAGCAAAATCCCTCAGCTTAGCGGTCGGAATTGCTTCCACCGCTAAACGAGTTCCCCGAAAAGACGTTTGGAGTTGTTGCCCAGTGAGGAATGATAAGAGCCACTGTGATTTCGATATTTTTACCATCGGAATCCTTCCAACCGCTATGCTGTCCGATTTCCAACGAATGGTGATTTTAGAAATATGATATGAGCCTAACATTGGCAAGTGTTCATTAAAAGGTAGAAACATGAAAATGGGCCGTTTTGGAAACATAGGAATTAGGCTGCGTTACTGCTCAGTACAGAAATCCTGTCAAGTATCAGTAACATAGGTTTAACCCTGCGCGCAGAAATGCGCGTAAGCCAAACTGGTGATAAAATGATCCGGAAATGCGGGCACTACCGGCGTGTGTGTCAAGGATTCCTAGGTTACCTTCCAAAGGAAGAGGAGCATGTTTTGTACTGACCTGAGAAGTAATCTGCGTTAGTGCGATGTGCGTGATGCAACCGAAAGGAGTTGTTCCGTAGGTACTGACAAGAGACGGGGCAGGTTTTCTGTCGCTAGAAATCAAACCTACAAGTTATGCTAAGGGAAGTCCCTTCGGATAGCTATGATGCAGGCTCAAATGGGTGAACTAAATCGTTGAGCTTGGGCCTGCACTGTAGGTTGCCTTCTCGTTACAGCTAATCAACCCGGCACTCGCACACGATTTTTCGTGGTGACTGCAGCGGATGGGCGCCCCTTCTCACCTAACCTGAGATTGCAAAGGACCGATGATGAAGTGCCGCTTTTCAGGATCGCGGCCGAAACCATCTGGGCGCTAAATCGTCGACCATTGAAATACGATTGGCGAAGTGCTCGCTTCACAACAATCTTTGGTCAGCTGTCTGGAAATTCACAATCGTATAGGTGGACGAACTGGTACGAGTAGGGACTGTTGTAAAAAGCATTTACTATTCCTGAAAGCTAGTAATTTGCAGTAAGTCTGGGCAGCTGTGCGACAGATCAGTGTGAGTAATGGTGAAGAAATTGAGTAGTTTTTCTGCTGGTTACTCCGCTCGCCCTGCTTGATTGTTAGTGTATGGAGAATGGGGCTTGTAGTTTTTCTTTGAATAGGTCGGCCATCTCGTGGAGAGAGAGAAGGTTGGTCGTTCTTTCCAGTCCCTTCCCTCTGATACCTGTACTAGGCCTCCAATGCAGAAGTCCATTTTCACAAACCTTTTCATATATGATCTTCCTGGCCTAAGTCTTGTGAAACTTGCTTCACGGGGCAGACGGGGGTAGCACCAAAAACGATAAATGACAAGGAGGTGTTCTGCGACCTCTTCTTTTCAACATATTTACATTTGAATTACCTCGTCTTATAGCCTCTAGAAGAGTAAAGTGTGTTGCTTTTGCCGAAGACCTCGAAATATATCACCCGATCTCATCTGACTCGGACAAGGTGCTGTTGCAAGCGGTCATCAATGAGGTTAGCATGTGGGCCAAGCAATGGGGCTTACCGCTATCTAGTGAGAAAACCAAGGTGCTACGCATAGGGAAAGTTGATAGCTCGTCCCCGTATTCGATTCAAGGGGTATGTCTATTATAGTTAAAAAAATCAGGGTCCTAGGTATTATTCGCAAGTGACCTAATCTGATGCGCACTGTTCGCAAATTGCAGCTAAAGCAGCTGTTGTTTTACATAACATGTTCAGGTCACTCCTAACCAGGGATTCCCTCGTATTATGTAAAGCATTCAAGACATACATCAGGCCTCTGCTGGAGTACGGGACCGTAGTGTTTAATCCGAATAAGAGGAAAAGTATCAATGCTTTAGAAAAGGTACAAAATAACTTACCAGAAAGGTTTTCTTGAGAAGGGTGATATTTCAGCACGAACAAGTACATACAAGTGTGGCGCACCTAAATCTCAATATGGAGACCCTAGCCCTCAGGAGGAAAAAACCGACCTAATCTTTCATTACAAGATTCTTCATTAACGCACTGGTATTGGACTCTCCACTCTTTTTGCTGTCAGAGAGTCAATTACCAGAGGTAGCTCTAGAAAGCTGATTATTCGTCGAAGTAAGAGCAACACTTAGGCATCACTTCTTTACTAACAGGACCGTCCCAGAGTTTAACAGAGGTACGCCTGTACGCCTGGGAGTGACCACAAATAAACTGAGCGCTTTTAAGTCTGGTTTAGACAAACATCTTACATCATAATACCTTTGCAAGCATCGTCCATCTTATTAGTATTTATTATTTTC